CAAGTGGATCGTAATGCTGGGGGCATTTACTGGCCATCATGTGATCATTGAGATTGGCTGTCATAATAATCATATGACCAATAGACCAATTGGCTGCTAAGATCTGGATAGTCACATAGCTGGCTGCACATCATTGAGCAATGCTGGCTGGACCCGTACTGTATATGTGGCACTGTGCCCTAAAGCCCACTGCCATGCTGCCACATATTTGTGTATGACTCGCATTATGGAGATAAAAAAATCCATCTTTTTATTTATTCTCTGCCAAATGAGGATGCAACACTCTAGAGCCTCATTCTACATGCCCCACAATTGCATGAATTACAAAATATAGGATAGGAGTATATGAAAAAATACATGGTATGCATTTAGATGTCAGGTGACTTTGTGCAGCCAGGTCATCCTGTCGATCTGCTCAGGGAGGTTACCAAGCAATCACAGGTATTTTCACCATGGGCCCGCTGTACTTTTTTCCACATAGTGTCATTATTTATTCATAAACCAGTGGTTTAGGAGGTACAGTTGGCCCAGTGGCATAAATACATGATTTGCATGGCTGTTCATACTATCCTAAAATTAAATACAGTATATAGCCATATGTTTGATAAATATATTGGAATAGAAACGTATGGATACCTTCAGTCTTTAGAAAGTTTTACCATGTTTTTTCCACGGAACATTTTAGGGTTGATTTATGACAACAGCAATGTTTTTAGTGGAATTTGAGTTCCAGCCAATCATGTAGTGAGGGAATTAAGCAAACATTCATTCCCTGCAAATGAATACATACTTGAAGTATAGCAGATGGATGGGAGTGAAGTGAATTAATGATTCCTTTGATAAAATGATCTCAATATGCCTTAAGGCAGCAGAAAAGTGTTCTACAATAGGGGGTTAATTTGCAAGGGACAATTGGGCTGTGTAAGATCGAGCATATCCTATCACATTTTGGTAAATGCAAAGCTGGGCATACACTGCTCTAATTTCAGTGGCTGCTTAAAAGAATAGTTGTCAGCAGGTATTCCTCCAATTCCCATTTGAGAATTATGTAGAGTATATGACCAGCTTAAGTAATGTAATTTGATTTTTTATTGTTTTTGGACTAAGCAGTTTTATGTGTGAGCTTTTTCCCAGTATTATAAACCAATCATTGTACACTGGCTAATTGTAGGAAGAATGAGTTACCTTGGTTGAGGTAGGTAAGCGACTCCTCATGTAGCTTCACAGCGGGGGAGCTGGGCGCACACAGTACACACTGGAAGATTGGGCACATTGGGGTGGTTATTGTTTGGTCCTCTTGCTTTAAGAAGGGCAGTGTAATGGAATCTCTGTAAGCAAGTTATAATACATCAAAAATGAGTATAGCTTATTGCATCAGATGGTAAAGATTAGAGATACAATGCAAACAAAAAAGTTTCTCAAACATGAATTAAATGGTTAGTCCACTTTAAGGTATAGGTTGAGTCTGTTGAGCTGAGTCAGGCTCTGGCTTCTTCTATGACTTCTATAATCCAACCAAGAGCACTTCCTGCCATATGCCTGACTTCCTGTTGCCTTATCCCTAGAAAAAATTTATTACAAATCTAACAGATTGGAATCTCCGCATAAGGATCAAAGGATCAAACACAGATATCTCATTAGAGTCCCCTAGAGATATAAGAAACCGACATATGTTTTAGTTCTCCTGCAACTTCCAAAAACTGCAAGCGCTGGTGGGGCACAGTACCTCTGGCGCCGGCTCTGTTCAGCATCCCACCAGCTCACTGATATCACTGGTTGCCAGGACCTAGGAGGATCACAGCACGCTTTGTCTGTGGGGCCAAATAAGTGTTTCTCACCATTCTAACCTCTGCATGCCCAGCTAATAACAGAAGTCCAATTGATTTCCCAAACTAGGATTGAAGTGTATGTAAGCCCTAATGATGAGCTATTTTTATTTGATCCGTTTTGGTCTGCTAAATATACCATTGGAAGTGTTTTGCTATCTGTTTAATAAGTGCAAAAAAACTGTTGATTTTCCCAGAATTCTTGTGAGCTGATAATTTCCTGTGTACAAGGAGGGTTTATGGAGGTGAGGAGAGCTCTGTGTTCTTTGGAATACATAAGGCTGGCCATACATTGCTCAAATTTTCTGCCGGAACCAGCCAGGAGCCATGTGGACAATTATCAGCCAAACAGTGACTACTGTCAATCAGTTGCAATCACTCTTCAGGTATTCTAACAGTGTCAGGTGCCGGCCAGCTTTAGAAATAAAGGGCAGGGCTGACACCACTAGCTTAGAAATTCAGAGCTTTGTTGTCATGCCAAAAAGTAAGGTAGGTAGGAGCATAGTTTTTTTCTGACACATCAACAGCTCTGTACTTACAGCATATTTAATGGGATAAACATTTGGGAAATGTGCATGCATTCCAGAGATGTACTAGATATTTATTTTCTTATTTTGCTTCAACATAAGCTTTAAGACCAGTGTTGACGGGCTTTTGTTCTCTCCAGAACTGCTTCTCTCCTCATACAAGTCTATGGGAATAGAAATGCCAACAAAGTAAGTTGACTACACCTACAATTAATTCTCAGTGATCTCAGGTACGTCTCAAATTTACGTTAAAGTGTGTCTAAACCCCACAAAAATTTAATATACGGCAGCTTACAAATTCTTAGATGAGGTGGCTGCAATAGTTTTTTTTTTCCCCCTTTATTTTCACCTGGTGACCAGTAACACACTTCCTGTGCAGGTGAAAGAAATGGGGGATTCCCAAGAGCGGGGAAACCGAAGTGATCCAGACCTCAGAAATTCAAAATATTCATATATGTTCCCAAGGAGTGCAGGACCCAGAATATGCAATAAAGAAAACAATATCCCCCAAAGGGATACACTCCCTGGGAAAAAATATAACATACACACTTATCTATAAAAGTAGCTTGATTTATTAACAAAGCATATTTTAAAAAACAGGATCACATTTCACATGATCTGAAAAGCTACTCTGTGTATCCTACATAGATGATCAATACAATATCTATGCAAAAAACTAAAGGAAATGGTTTATTCATATGAAAACCAGCATATAGAACACACACATTGGATGAAACAAGATGGGGATGGCTGAAAATAATCCTCAGGTGGTAGTGATCACTATAATGACACTTTAAAATTGGTATATGAAAAAAATATAAAAGTTTGTACTACTGATTCCTTTCTTAAAACTTTTATCTATATGGAGCTGAATTGTTGGAAAAATATACTTTTGAAGTAGACAAACCATCAATACAAAATTGAAGCATATAGAGCTGAATGTAGCACGATCTTAATCAAAGGCAAATTCACACTCCTTGGGAACATATATGAATATTTTGAATTTCTGAGGTCTGGATCACTTCGGTTTCCCCGCTCTTGGGGATTCCCTCATTTCTTTCACCTACAAATCAATGTTTGGGTTTTGTAACCCCACTGAAGTGATTCATACATCATATATAAATATATTTTGTATTATTTATTTGTATAGAATTTGTTGTAGTCATGATTGATTAGGATTGTTTAGTTGATAAAATTCAGAAAGAACTTGGTATGACTCTGATAGAAGGACTAGGGAACGCAGTTTTAAAGATGTTGCCTTTAAATTAAAAAGAGCTTATGAGAACAAATCTAGACCATGGTG